CCTTTTTAATAGTTTTACGTCGATGTGATTTAGCTACTAAATGATGCTACATAAGCAAACTAAATGTTAAACCGGTTCGTTGGACGGGTAGTTAAATCTAAATAAAAATTATAAAATGAAAAAATGAATGTTGTATTATATAATACATTTTACGTGAAAATAGAAAAATTAACCTTAAATATAATAGTTTTTTCTTCTGACATCAAAACAGAATATTGAGAAACAGAAATGCTATTTATGCTACTAAATATCGTAATACTTCATTTAAACAGCAAATAAAAATCAGAAAGACGAAAAAGAAGTAAGACCGACATATATAATTGCATGTCTTACAACACTTCCTTGCATGTTATATTTTTGTCTTGTTGTTGATATTACCATCTTGATCATTTATTAAAACCTTGATCCTTGATCCTTGATCCTTACAATAGTCTACAAATACATTAGATATTACCGATAGTCTGCAAATGAATACACAGAGTTCTTTTTCAAGATCAATGTGATTAAAGTACTACATGTCGCTCTTGGAATTGTAGTTCCGTTAAAAAAATCCCTACATGCTTCCAATAGGTCTTGACTGATTATTTCGCAACAACGTTTACCAGCAAAGCCATCCACACCCCGAGAACGCGAAGAATCTAAGTCAAAAACCGCATGTCTTAATTCATCAAGAGTAATTTCTCTAAGCAACATTTCATTTTTTTTTCTCTAACATTGATCCTTACAATAAGGTCCGGAGGGAGTACGTTTTTCGTACATGAAAATTCAAAATTTTTTACCAATATACAATCCAATTCAATTGTCTATATTGTGAGCAACATGATCGGAGTACCTACTTTAAGCTTTAACTTATGTAGAGTCAGCCGAAAACATTTAATACTGTTCGGGAAATCTTTGTAAGGCGGTTCTTTCTTTTGGGGTAAGTTTTAATCATTGCATTTCTATAACTTTATTTTTTAAAACTAATAAAATCATAGGGATGTCCGCCTGATACTATTCTGGATTTTTCTAAAAACGGAAAAAAGCTTTACACCGCCTTTTTGAATTGTATATGATATCTGAAGTTGTTTATAAAAGCTTCTCTTTATCTGTGATGGAGAACATATGATTATCTATGGTTTCCACAAATCGGTGTCGAAATTTCTCTTTGTTGAAGATTATCATTTACTTTCCTAAATTTACCTCGATTTTTTAAAAAGGAAATGTATTTGTTTGAGTTTTTTTTTTCCCCCTTAATGATATGATTCAATTGTTTTTTTTTCTCCATGTAGTCTTTATCAAGTCATTTAAATTAATTCTTAAACTTATTGTATTTTTTAGTTTTTTAACCACTTATTCATTATCTTCGCTTCATTCACTTTTAGAAATTTTTAATTTTTATTTAATGGTAGATCATATATGTATCATTGTTGTCCTCTCTAAATAATTAATATCATTCAAAGCTGTTTTTTTTTTCTTCCATTTAACACTCTAATTGTTTTCGCCGGTCATTGGTGGGAGTATAAATTTAATAATCTAATTGTTTCGTTGGCTATTAGTTTTCTATTTAGTCTTTCATCATCAAATTGATTTTCAATGTATTTTATTTTAGTAATTTTCACCGGTTTCGTATATTGTAGTCATTTTGCATTCTCCATTTGTAATCCTTCTAATTTTTTACTTGTTTTAACCTAAAAAAAATTATTAAAGTTGTAATTGTTTAAATATTTTTTCCTCCTTAATGATTTAAAATAACTATTTTTCTCCTCCATTAGTCTTTCTCAAGTCAGTCAAAATGATTCTTTGCATATTATATTTTAGTTGTTTTACTCGTTATTAGTTTTTTCTTCTCTAAATAATATCATTCGACTATTTTTTTAGTCCTTTTTACATCAGTAAAAGTGATTCCCAACTTATTATTTTGTAGTTTATTTTATCTTTATCTTAGTTGATATACATTCGTCGTTGATAATCATTTTCTTTGCCAAAAAGTTTCATGGAGTAACTTTCATTTATTATTTACTGATTCTTTTTACAGGGCGTCATGATTCAAATCTAGTTCATGTAAATGATTATGGATATCAATCTTTTTGTTTTCTCCATAAATTGACTTTAACAAAAACAATTTGAATTATTTTTTCATATTTTAATTTTTTTGCTTTTACTTTTCTCATGTGGTAACTTTAAAGATTAAATCTTTTCATCTTGATCGTTCTTCTTTTTCTTTTCACGGTGAGCAAACAAACAGGTCCTTTGACTTAAAAGGGTCAAAATATATTTCTTTTTATGTTTAATTTTTGTTGTTTTCTTCATTTGTGCTAATTTTATTTTAACTGTTTAAGGAAAAAAATATTCCATTGAATTTAATCAACTACAGAACACAAATTAATATGAAAACTGGAAATAAAATTTTGCACTTCTAATTTTATATGCTTCTCAAATTACGTTGCCTATTCCGATTGATTTGGTTAAAAAGTGTAGAGTTTCACTTGACATAGTGTAATGAACATTTAGTAGATTAACTTGAAGAAGTTGTGTTGCTTTTTTACGTTTGTTGAAAAAAAAAAAATTTCCCCTCCTTAAAAGTACCGATTAAGTAGGTTCTTGGTTATCATGTATAATCAAGTATAATTTGATACCTTCAAAAAACAGTGTAATTAGATCATTTTTCCCACAAAATACTATCCTTTTAATCTTATAGAAATAATAAATATATGAAATGTGTATTTATATCTATGCTGGTTGTTTGATATACATATGATATTTCTAAATAAATTCCAACTCTTTCTTAGAAATTATTAGTAATCAGCGCGCATATTTTTGTCAACCTTAGATCATTGGAAAAATTGTACATTGATTTTTCGTAAGAAAACCATCAAAGAGAAATTCTGTTATTGGTAATTAATAGTAGCATTACACAATTTTTATTGGGATCAAAATAAGATGAATGGAACAAAAAAATTATGGAATCAACAATCACTCCTACGTTTTCAATCAAAAAAAAAAAAAAAACAATGACTCCTACGTGTGCTTATTCTACGTACTATATTCACTTAGTAAATCATATTACAGTATTAAATATCACTCCGTACTCCATTGCTTGTTCGACCTTGATCTTGAAATTCATCTTAATGCCTCTCGGACTGTTCTTCTGGAGTAGAACCTAAGATCAACAATTATGAGAAATTTGTGGAAATAAATTGATTTAGAAAGATTTTGTTTGTTAATATTGTTGTTCAAAAGTTTAATAGTCATTAGTAATTTATTAGTTTTTTTTTTTTACAATTTATAACCAATATATTTAGAAAATACCACATAGGATTAAATCCTGTGTGGCATGATTATATAACTAAGACATTTCTCTCTCTGGATTTTGACTTAGTTATATATGTAGAAGATATATAGATGATTGTGGGCGGGAAATTATCTCTTGTACAGCTATCACTGGCTTAATTAGTAATTGCTTTCAAGAGGTAAAAAGGGATAGAAACCCCAAAAAGAAGGAGAACTTCTCCGAAAATGAGAGAAGAAAGAAACGTAATCTCACTTCCTTATTACAAATCTTTGTTTATAGTCAAAAAAAGAAATTTATTAAAAAAAAAAAAGCGGTTTTGAGAGCTACAAAGTTGCAAGTGATGAATTCAAGCAAAAGAGAGAGAGAAAAGACAATGAAATTCCTCTCTATATTATATTCCATCATGTCTTCATTATAAGGTATTTTGATTTATCCTAAAATTCACCTAATATGTTATTTCAATTAGAAGAAAAAAACCTTAAGATTTATTTTCACATTTATTATGTTCTCCTAAAGTATTTAAAAATATTTTTAAGACTTTTTTTTCCTATTGAAAAAATATATTAGGTGAATTTTATGACAAATCAAATGTCTTAAGACAAAACATGTTAGCCTCTCAAGCAATATTTTGATTTAAATTTCTGTTAGGCGTTGCGTCTTTTTAGTACCAAAAAAGAAAATGTCTTAAGACAAAACTTGTTAGCCTCCCACAGCTAGTTATTCGGATCCATCATTCTTTAAAAATTAGTTCGCCAGTTCTCTGGTTCAAAAACCAAGTTTCCCTTAGAAACCGGCCTCTCTGGTCAACAAATAAACTGTATCGGATTATGGTTTAGTTGGGTGACAACTTGGGGGCAGCAACCAAATTCTTAGTGTATCACTCACTGTTCGGGATTCTCAAATATGCTCACCAAATGCAGTAGTCCGTGAACGGTGATTAACAAGATGTAAATTACGCAAACAGAAGAAATGATTACTATCCTCTATCGTTATTATATTGTACTAGTATATTCCTGATATAGTTTACTAATATTCAAATCACCTGTCATTAAATGACGGCTTTTCTTTGTACGGGATAAGTCTTACGCATTCTCCCAAAAATATTTACTTTATTAATAAATTTCCTAGGTACTAATCTGGTTTGTTAAAGAAAAAAAAAGTATATAACACAATTTCCAAGAATAAGTACATTGAAAAGTGATATGGGAGGAAGACCGATCAATCCAAGATCAGGGTTCCAAGAATCAATGGGGTTCTAGTTTACGTACATTATTTTCTTTGTATTGAATCACAAACAACAGGACAACTGGTATGACGAATAATAGACGTACGCAAGCGTAATACATACAGAAAAGAAAAATAGACAAATTCATGTTTCGACCACAGATTTTTCAACTTGGCGGCCATATCCAGTTTAGTCAATGTTCCTAACAAAAGTTTAATCATGTAGTTCTTCGCAATTTCCCATTTATAATTGATATTGTTCACGAAGTTATTCATTCACGTCAAATATTTGTGAATCGATCATATGCGTGACAAAGAAATTATACTGTTGGAAATATTACATCAATAAAATATGATATCTATAACTAACACATAAGATCCTTAAATCGCTTGACTCATTGTTAATTAATTTTGAGTTGAAAGCGAGGCATAAATAGAAAAGCAAAGACTTAGATTGAAATTTTGCCCCAATAAGAATACCGTCACGGTCCTGCACTACATACTACACGGGGGGAAGTGGATCGACTTGGCAACTTATGTGATGTTCACCAAACCAGGGTATCTGAACTGATCCTTTTCTTCTTTCATCATGATCATATTGACCATAAAGTCTGCTTTCTTTCATAGCCTCGAACCAATTCCAGGCCTTTCTAACCAAACATATGGGACTTAAACTGATAGAATATAAAATGGCTGCCAAGTATAAAAATGGCCCAAAATTTCCAGGGAAAAGCAGAGATGACATGGATGCCAAGGACAAAGGACCAAAGATTGCCATCCCCATATAAGCAACTGGTTGATGCGCGGAAAACCTACTGCGATTAATAGCCGAAGACCTTAGCTTGGCATCGTGTGACAAACAGTACAAGAACAAACTTGCAATAGCAGCCCATATGGTCTTCGGGCGAGTTTTGAATGGCGATTCGCCTTTGCCTTGATACATGAGCTGGAGGAAACTGACCACCACCGCAGTGATGAATGCGAAGATGGCTTGGCGAGAAGTTATGATCATTTCTGGATGAGTTGGATGATGAAAGTGGCAGTTTATGAATCCGATGATTTGAATCGTAGTCTCCCTGAATCGGACATTAAAAACCAATGTCCCTGAACCAGGGAAAAAATTTGCTCTTGCAGTTGCAGCCTCGGCCATTAAAATGATACTATCTAGGTTTTAGTATATGTTGCTCAGAGAATTAGAGCATTACGAATTGGAGTGAATTGAAAACAATGAATTTATAGAGGACTCAGACTTGTGCAATGTGTCAGCACACACTGAAATCTGATGCAATCTTTCGATATGTTTATGGGAAAACTTTTTCTTGTTCTCAAGTCATTGTCAGAAATTGATCAGGCCTTGTTTTTTGGGATTTGGCCAATTTCTTGTTGGACACTTTGGTCCTATGATGGTGGAACAATGTTAAGATTCTTCTGAGTTTTTACTTGCCATTTTCAGTTAAAGAAAGATAAGGATGAAGAACGGATTCCACTAAAATCATTTATAGGTAGAAGTGAGTAAAAGCCCCAACCTGAGGTGTACGGTAGCCGTACACAGATGTTATATACACACTTGGCTTTGATCATGTCGACTTGCACAATGACAAAACCTGATTTCCACCGCCCATATCAATATGCATATTCTCTTTCCGAACTTTCCTGGAATTTCTAAAAGCCGACTTTAAGCCAAACACATACTGTAGCAACCAATAATTTAATGAAATAGATGCAAAATGAAGAAAGACAACTGATAACTTCTCTCACACGTAGCGGTACCATAAATTTTACTTATTCACGATAGAGCTAGCTGTTTTTCCAACTATTAACATGGTTACACGACATGGTTTGTAATTAACATTTCTAATCAATTATGCATATTAGTTCGTTATCCCAGTAAGTACTAGCTTCTTGCAGCAATTAATAACTTTTTGAATCTGTTCTATATGACCATGATTTTTTACTTCTGCAATTCGATACATTTTAAATTTTGAATTATTTATTATAACTCTGTAAATTTTTTAAGTTACAGTGGGCTCAAGGTTAAAAGTGTCACAATTACTATTTAAGGTTTACTGTAGCGATCAAAGAAAAAAAAAATTGGTTTTACTTTTTCTTTTTTTTTTTCAAAAAAAATTACGTTTGAATTATTTACCGTAATTCGGTAAAGTTTTTAAACTACAGTGGATCGAAGGTTAAAAGTGTAACATAATTACTATTTAGGATTTACTGAAGTGGTCAAAGCAAAAAAAAAAAATCTTGGTTTTGCTTTTTCTTTTTTTATTTTTTTATTTTTTGAATTTTGAATTATTTACTGTAACTCGGTAAATTTTTTAAGTTACAATGGATCCAAGGTTAAAAATGTAACATAATTACCATTTACTTTGTACTTAACATAAATGGTAAACAAAAAAACTAATTTTGAAAATAATATAAATTTGAAAATTTAATAATAATATTTGAACAATTAAATAATAAAATTTGAATTTTAAAATATTTTTAATGATTTAAATTTTAATGGAAGTTCAAATTTAATTAAAAGATGAAAATACCCTTGATTCCGGCATGTCAACGGCCGGAAACAGTAAAATGAAACTAAAAAATTTTGAAAACCTAATGTTTGGGACAATGATATTGAAATGTTAATGTTAGAGAAGTAAATTCAAGTAGGTTCAAATATAAGAGACCATTTGGACATTTTAATCTCTTTTGATCAGTTATATATTATGTTTTACACCTGGTAAATGTGTAATGAAAAGGACAATAATTTTGGTAAGAAACCAATGATTTTCACATAATCATATTAGCAAATTAACAATCCATCAGGAAATACTCTACATCGTATTCTCTCTTCTCTTTATTCTCTTAAACTCTAGCGGCCTTTCAAAAAAAAAATTTTCTTTCCTCCATCTTCCCTCATGGGTTGATGGGGGAATTGATTTGATTTTTATTAGTTTATAGTTCTTTTTATCGTTTAATAAGTGGGATTTGTCCCCAAAATATAGTTTCTTCAGTAGATTAATTGTAATCTATTGAAAGGGTAGGATTTTTTCTTGCAGTGTTCGTGATGTCTTTCGTACCGTTGTTACGATATTTGTAGTTTCGTTCATTGCTTCACACTGTGCGGTTGAAGAAGATTTAGTCATTATAGGTTTATTTGATAGATCTATGATTTGGGGCTTTTATCAGATGATTAAAGTTATGTTCTTGATCAGATTGATTATCTGGTACATGATATATCCATCGTTGCATTGAATAGATTTAGATAGGTTCCACGAGAAACACAACAATACTAATAAGTTTAATTGTAAGTTGTGTTTTGTTTCGACTGTATCTTTTATTATCAATCATTGTTGGACGATTTCCAGTAAAATAATATAATATAGTTTATATTTCAAAAAAAATATTAGCAAATTAACTCGGTGAGTGCTACTCAAATTTCTAGCACGGGAGGTATTGTTCTACATCAAGATAGCCAGTATCGTTCCATATGTATATCATCAATAATATACGATGGTACCAGATCAGATCAAATGATCAATATATCCCAGTTTATATTTTCGTTCAATCAAATTTCATACCTATTTTTACTACAGCCAGCGCTTTTTTCTCATTCTTGCTCATTCACCGTTGGAGCAATACTTATTCGTTCTTTCACTCTACAAGTGTGTGTGATTCCCAATATGGATAGCTAGCTAGTCAGAATTTGTAATACTTATTCTTCAATATCAAATTTGTTCTATTTTATGCAATCAACAGGACTCTTAATTTTGAGACGTATTTTGAGATGATTCAAAGGGCGACAAAAACGGACAGAGGATATCAACCAGCAACAATAGGTCCTCATTGTTTAACTGAAGAATCATTTGTATAAAATGGAAACTTGGGAGGGATCCCTCCATGATCACTGAGAGGACAGGTGCAAGCCCTCGGCGATGAAACTATTGGGAGGACTGCCGGCAGGAAGGCGCCTGAGGCAGAGAGGCCGCGAGCGCAGAGTTCGTGATGCTTATTTCCTTGGCGGTGGAGTGTTTGCGTAGTAAAATGAATAATGAAAACGAGAATCCTCAAGCCTCTTTCCTGCAACTTCATTAATAGGAATTGCATTAGTCAGCTCTTCCAAATCCTCCTCTGCGAGCTTGATTTTCAATGAAGCAGCGTTATCATGCAGGTATCTAAGCTTGGTTGTTCCTGTAAATGTAAGCACGATAATCCCTTAACTAGGACAGATTTTAAGATAGACAACAACAGTAGAATCGAGAGACGGAATGGAGATAGACTGGACGATTACATGCAATCATAAACACAAGGAAGAATATATATACATATGTTTCCTCTACTCAACTTAACATGCTAACCAGCAGAATTGAACTTTCATTACTAAACATGATTTTGCGCCTTTCAGCAAGAAGTATTACAAAAAGCCTACACTGAACAATAATTTACCATTCTTGACTAACAAAACAATTCAACAAATTGGACTAATCCAGTAGGACAGAGGGAACATATATTTTGTAGTCTCTTCCATGAAACATAAATGAATATAACTTACCAGGGATTGGTACAATGTCTTCACCCTGATGAAGAATCCAAGCAATTGCAAGTTGGGCAGTAGAGCATCCATGTTTCTCTGCCAACTTAGTTAAGTTGAAGTAGAATGCCTTGTTCTTTTCCAAGTTTGAACCCGTAAATCTAGGATGCCTTTCCTGCAAGGAGATAAAAGTAGATCACTCCCCAATGCCATACAAATTATTCGTGTACGGATTCAATAACAAAGTCAAAGGGTGAAATATAATCCCATCTTCATACCAAAAGACTGTTTTGAGGTATACTTTCAACAACACCCTTCCCACCAAAAAGCCCACGACCAACTGGACTATATGAAACAATTCCAATTCCAAGTTCCCTGTTAATAGAAACTCATGCATTAACACAATCCACATTTGCGTATCTGAAATTTATGCAATAATGACAGAAAGGTAGTCCAAGCTGAAGAGGATTCAGAGAGAATTTTACACAACCTGCAAAGAGGTAACAGCTCCGCCTCGATATCACGGGTCCAGAGAGAATACTCCACTTGTAGAGCAGTGATGGGATGAACAACATGTGCCCTCCTGATTGTATCAGGGCTAGCTTCAGATAGCCCAATGTACTTTATTTTACCTTCTTCAAACAGTTTTTTAAGTTCACCCATCTGTCACCCAAAAACTAGCCTCATGTCACCATTAAGATTGTAAAATCAGTTCAAAAAGGTACTACATAACTCTAATAATGTACTTCACATATCTCATGATACTTCGACAAATATAACTCTGATTCACTTTCTACTATAACAAGACAATTAGTGGGGAAAACTCTTGTCACTTAACAAGCATAGACAGATGATGAGTATTGGATGAAACATGAAAGATTCAATAGCAACTTTACAGTTTCTTCAATGGGCACTGTTACGTCAATTCGATGTATGTAATAGAGATCGATATAGTCTACTTGAAGGCGCTTCAAGCTGGCCTCGCAGCAGGCGCGAGCATAATCAGGAGTGCCTTTTACAGCATAAGGAGTGGTTTCACTTCTATACACACCAAACTTTGTGGCTAATTGGATACTTCCACGGGGAAGCTCCTTCAATGCCTGCAATAAAAAAATCGATGTTCACATTGTTAGCTCTGTCCTACTGCAATCCCATTTTACATCCCTGAGATCTGTTTTACCTTCCCAAGCAGGTATTCGTTTGCATGTTCCAAACCATACATATCTGAAGTATCCCAAAAAGTAACTCCTTTAGCAAAAGCCTCCTTGAGTATGTGAATTCCATCTGCCTCAGGTAAAGGAGCATTATAAACCCCACTGAGACCCAAACAACCGAATCCCAACTTTGAAACCTGAAAAAAGGACAGACAGAAACGCAGAAGAAAGGAGTTAAAAACAGAACAAATTTATAGCACAAAAGTGATCATTATAATGGTATTAATTAGACTATTAGCGGTCAGAAGAGATGGTGCCTGGGCACTGGAGAATTTGGCATACATCAAATTGACAAATTCCAATCAAATTAGAAGCCAACGAGGTCTAATTCATCAAGGACACATTTCTTTTGTGAGGGATGCAACTGTTTCTGCTTTGGGAAAGCAACGGCCTAACCCTGTTTCGGCCAAATTATAATCTCCATATATAATATATTAGTTCAGTGTGTTCTTATCAGCAATAACAGGTATCAGAGCAGGTAAAATCAAAGCAAAAACTTCGATTCAAGAAATTCCTAGAATCCTAAAGATCAAGCCTGCCAAAATAGTCTCACTCAAAAAGTCAAAGGAAACCCATGTCAAGACTTTTCTAACTACAAGTGGCTCAGAAACCTTAAAAACTGGTTTGAATAACCATAGCAACTACTGTCCCAGTAAAACAAAAAAGGTAAAAAGCCATAGCTGCGATTTGCTCGATAGATAAACACCGGAAATTGAAAAAAAGAGTAAGCTTACTTCAAGTCCTTGGGATCCCAGTTTCACCCTTGGTATTATGTTAACTTGATCAGCCATAAAGAGGACTTCCCTTAGACACTCTGCTCTGTCTTCAATCAAAATTTAATTACGGCCATTCGATGAAATCCAAGCTAGCTACGTTTGCAATTACACAATACGAATACATACATTAATCGAGTCAAATAGTACACTGTATTAAAGTTCCACCCCTTTTTTTGTCTTACATCTTCTTTTACTTGTTTGATTGTTTGGGCCAAGTAATAATAATACTCTTCTAATCTTTATTACAACACATTTTGATTTTTTCTAAATTTTATTATGTTCTTTCAATTAAAAATAAAATTTAAAAATGTATTTTTACATTCATGTGTTTTCTCAACTGTTATAAATATTTTTAAAATTTTATTGAAAAAACACAATAAATAAAATTCAAGACAAATCAAAATTACTTACAATAACACAAGAGAAATGAAGGGAGTAACCCATAAACTTATATATTGATATCAAATCCCTCCCACCACTGATGTGGGATACTCAACACTCTCCGTAAACCCAACGCATATTCTTAGGTTGAGCTTGTTTATTTTTCTTCAGCTCAGTTACCGATTCACGTCTCAGCCTTACAAGCTCTATCACGTTAGATTTGGAGTCTAACTCTTAACGGATTGGCTCTGATACCATATAGAAACCCACGAGATTCCACCTCAAAATTCATAACCTAACAATCTAGATACATAACCATTTCACCCAAACTTTAAGCTTGTCTTATTGGATAAATACTTTATTCATTTTTTCCCTATGTATTTCATCCGAATTGGAAGGAGTTTTTGAAGTGGTGAATTGGAAGGAGTTGCACACATTAACCTTTGCGTTTGGATGCATATTTCTGCATTCTTTTCCCTATGAAGTGTAACGCACCTCTAGTCCACCACATTTTTTTTTTTTTTTGGTAGAGTCCACCACATTGTTAAAAAGTAAACCGATCTTGTTTGTGCATTACTAATTACGAGTATTTTCTTCTTCTTTTTTCAATAGAAATGATTTATGATTTTTTATTAAAAAAAAAATAAAAAATTACGAAACCCATCCACTGGATCAAATTCTTTAGCTACGTTGTTGACTACAGACCGCACATTTCTCTCCTCACTTTTCAGACAAACAAAAACACATCATCGGTCACTACTCCCTTACCTCGCCTGACGCCACGCCACCGTCGATCATCTCCATCCCCGACGTTTTCCAATTAAAAGGGTCAAGAATTTCTTTTTTGGGAACCCAATTGATCAGTTTCCTTTGATATGAGCCTATCCACTAATTCCATCTTGAACTGTCCAGCAGTAATTAAGACACCCCAATTGAAGAACATCAACCATCTTAATACTGCAGTTGCTCGAAATGGTTTCATCCCCAGAAAGCTCCGCCGCCGCCGGCGTGGAATATCACTCCGGTGCCAGGTGGCAACTCAATTGGACAATCAATTACTCCAGACCCGAAAATTCGAGTTGCTTAGAATCACTCAAGACACACAACGTGGCCTGGTGACTACTCCCGAACAGCGCTCTTCAATCGAGGAAGCAATAGTCAACGTCGAACAATTTTGCGCCGGCGACCCAATCAAATTGGACGACTTGAACGGGACTTGGCGTCTGCAGTACACTTCCGCTCCGGACGTCCTCGTACTCTTCGAATCTGCCACGCGGCTTCCGACGTTCTTTCAGGTGGGCCAGATTTTCCAGAAATTCGAATGCGGCGGCAGCGGCGGAAGTGGTGGTGGTGGTGAATCCAGCGGCGGCGTCGTACGGAATGTTGTGAAGTGGAGTGTTCCGAATCTTCTGGAGGAGCAGGACGGCGCGACCCTGGTCGTTTCAGCGAAATTTTCAGTCGTTTCGTCCCGAAACATTTATCTTCAATTTGAAGAGATTTCAGTTCGGAATATAAATATAAGTGAACAATTGCAAGCTATCATAGCTCCGGCGTTGCTGCCGAGGTCGTTTTTGAGCTTACAGATCTTGCAGTTCATCAAGGCGTTCAAAGCTGAGTTTCCGGTGACGAACCCAGGAAGAAGACGATCTGTTGGTGGGCTGTATTACCTTTCGTATCTGGACAGGGATATGCTATTGGGCCGGGCTGTTGGAGGCGGTGGAGTTTTTTTGTTCACTAGAGCTCAAGATACTGTATATTGACTGATTACAATTTACTCGCTCATAGGTTCGATTCTTATGGAGGCTACTTAAATATTTTGGCCAGTTATTTCTTTCATTGATATGTCTATAATTCAACAAGGGGGATTAATCACTGTTACCGACAATAGACATCCTGCAAATATAGAAAAATAAAAAAAAAATTTACTCGCCCCATCAAATTTTTTTTTTTTTTAACCTCTCTTTTTTTGTATACTTTTGTGTGGCAATATTTGTAATACTCATAGAATCATAGTCACAATTGTTTGCAATTTTTTTTTTGGTATACTTTCACATGTTTATGTTGTAATATATTACATATAAGTTCATTAATTAGTTTTGTGGTTTAGTTAAACTTTAAACAGTTTAGCAGAATGTGTGAAATTATGTACTCCTTTCGTCTAAGAAAAAGGTCAAAAATTGAATTTTGATATTTATACTATTTTTAAAAGTCAAACATGTACTAAAGTGACGCAAAAATTAACTTTTGTAGTGCCACTTTTCATTGTGGCCTGCGCTAAAATGAAAAGGATATGAGTATTTATAGCTATTCATTGGAAGTCCCAAGGCAATCATATCACAGAGAGAAGAGTACATGATTTACGATGAGCAACATTTTCTTAGAGCAACAATAGTGTTAGTAACAGGGCTGCGCTGAAAAAAAAAAGGAATGAAGGTGGAAGAAATATGTAAAGGATGTGGTGAAGGGGTAGAATCACTAGAACACATTTTCTTCAAATGCCCACTGGAAGTTACGAGGAAAATAGCACCTGTGAAATGGGATGGCCTTCAACACCTTACTGATGACTTCCCTAGTTGGTGGAAAGCTGTTATAGGGGCTGAAGCAAAGAAGCAGGGACAAGATCGAATTGCCTTAACGGTCTACATCCTTTGGCAGTGGAAGGCAAGGAATGCATGGCAGTTTAATGAGCAAAAAGATGATGGCTGGATGATAGTACAACGAGCAATGTTTGAATGGAACGAATTCAACAATGCACAAAAGAAGAAGATTAATGAAAGTTGCTGCAAAAGGGAGGATTCCACGCAGAACTGGAAGAAACCTATGGAAGGATTTTGGAGGTAAACGTGGTGTCAGAAAGAAAGGCTGGGGAAGAAGGTGCTGGATTGGCTTCCTGTATTCGAAATGATCAAGGTGAGTTCATCTTTGCTAAGTCAACCTATCAAGAACAATCCTTGAATGCACAGGCTGCGAGCTGAAAGCGATAAGGTCAGCAATGTTTGAAGCTTTATATAGGAGATTAAGGTGTATAGAGGTGTAATTAGATAACAAAACTATGGTAACTTGTTTACAAGTGCATACAAACCCGTACAAATCATGTCTCAGATGTTGCTACCGTAGTTGAAGATATCTCCTTGCTCAATGTAAATTTTTGTTTATTCAGAAACAATGAAACTCAACATGCCACAATCTAGCTAAGTTAAGTTTCTCTAACAATTGTACACAAAGTTGAGAACGAAATTCCCCTTTGTCAGGGGCGGAGGTACATACTAGCCTAGTGGGGCAATTGCCCCGGCTGAATTTTTATTTTGGTGCTAATTATCTCATATAAATTCAAGAAATTTTTTATGAAAATATAATTTTTGCCCCACCTAAATTGAAAATTTAAAAGGGCAAGCATAATAATTAAATTAGGAAAATTAAAAATTCTTGCCCCATCACATTTTTGGGGCTTAGCTCTGTCCCTGCTCTTTGTGGTTAAATGAATCATTTAAGGCGAATTGCAATAGCTGATGTAAGTATGCAAAGGAATCTTTTGATTTTGTTTATGAAATGAATATTGTCCTTGAACCAAAAAAAAACAATAGTGATGGTAACTAGCCTAGAATATCCTGTCAATTACTATCACTTTTACTTCAACGCGGATGCAGAGCGTAGAAAGGGAAACCCACGTCCTTCTCTCTATTACCTGAAATATTCTTACACTTTAGTGAAAAAGTGGGTCAGCTTGCATTAATACAGTGACTTACCCAAATAAATATTTAATTGAAAAAACGGTAGCAAAATGGGTAACACCAGTGTGGTTACTCTTAGTAGCACTGAAATTCTCACAGTTGACTGGACTTGTAATTGCAAAGTCAACTAGGATAACAATTTTTTTTTTTTTTTAACGGTGAATCTATAATAAGTAGTAATATCATTCAAATAGTGCTCATTTTAGTAATAATTCAAGTTTTAGCAATCACACACGCCCAGTGACACTAAAATCAAGCGAGAAAGTTGTATTGCAACGTTGTATGCAAATCCAAATGCTCCATCATCAATGGTAAAAAGGTACACAATGTAAATGTCACATACTTCAAAACTTGATATATGTCAGCAGGAAAAGAATCAAGGTATCATAGCTAGATGCTTGTATGCCCTCTACAGAGCTAGGGATCGATTCTCATATAAAACATGTATTGCAATTAACCTAGAGGGAAAAAATAACTTGATAGTTGATACTGTACTATTTATTAATAGTTATAAAGAAAACTCAGATGAAAGGAGCCGTAACAGAATTTAGGTTTAAGGCAATCAATTGCTATACCGTATTAACGTAATAAAACAAAAAATATTATACTTGTAGAAATACTCCTTTTAGTGCTGTTCCCGGATCAAACATGAAAAACAAGAAAACCATTGCACTCAAATAATTGAAAGGGCAAGAACATGTTCCTAACAGGAAGACAATAAAACAACATAATTACAAATTACAAACATCCCATGAATTATGTATATATATATATATATATATGCATTATTGGCACTTAAACAATTGCATGCATCCAAACCTACGTACTTAGCCGTGAATCAAACAGGAGGAAAAGCAACTATATCGATTTGGTTCATCATGACGACATGTTCAGGCCGGAGCGGGATGCCCTGACGGAAACCAATGTCCCAGCTTCCGGTACCAAACGATAATTTGCCAAGATCACCACCTACTATTCTCCGCCTTAGTTTATCTTTTTTCCTCCTTTCAGTTGCCGGTGATTGTCCAAATATTTGTTCAGCCGCCTTCTATCTCTCTCCTTCCGCTGCTTCGTGCCCAACCTTTCAACATTCTCCTCCCAAATTTACCGGTTTTGTTGTTCCAAATCTCTCTCCTCAACCCATTGGCAAAAAGAAGGTTTTTCTGATCAAAGTAAATAGTTCATTTGGTGGATGCAAAGAAGAGGCAGAATCACAGCTGCAGGTCGCCGGAAAGGGAAGAGGCACTCAGCCATCCGCTGGTTCATTCCAACCTTTTCCATGCTTCTCTTTCCAAATTTTCAATTGGGATTCTTTTTAATTTTTTCTATTATTGGTTCTACCTTTTCCATAATTCTTCTCAACCTTCCTTTTTGTCTCCTACCCTCTTTTTTGCAGCCATCATTTGTTTGCTGAGAATAAATTTCGAAAAACTCCGCTACTCAAAATCTATGTTTGGTTTCGGAATACGGAGCAATGGATTTGGGAATGAAGATTGAAGTCCAGGTTGAAGGTATTATACGTGTGCTTAAATTTTGATGAGAAGTTGAAAACTGAAAATTGGTTTAGCCAAATTCTGTAACATGATTGAACTTGAAGCTTTGAAAAATGGAAGAAAGGATAATTGTTGCCTGTAACCATTTGTTAGATCACGCAGATTTTGTTTGTGTATTAGGTGTATGATTTTATTCCTGAAAGAGTGCTCTTGTGTGTATTAGGTGCCCTCCACTCTCCATTTGTATGAATTTTCTTTTTCTTTTATTTGTATGAATAAAACTTTGTTTCGGAATTTCAGATATTGGCTCAATTGCAAATTACCATAGTTATAACTTGTGAGCTGGAAAATTTGTTGCACAAAGCTTTCATTGTCTATGTTCTAATAATAACTTTTTGTCTTTACTTTGTTTAACTTAATAGAATGTGAGAGGAAGGCACAGGCTGGAAATTTGTATGTTGCTTAGTTTTAATGGGCTTGTAGCTGGATTTGTAAATTAGTTGAAGGATCTCAAATTTGTACATGAACACTATGGTGAAAGGGAAGCATTAATTTAGGTTTGTATATTGATGAAGCTAAGATAGTCAAGGGGCTGACAACAAAAATTTCCACGTCAACAGACTTCAGTCAGCGATGGATGCGTTGGGTGGAAAGAGTATAGCAGTGATAGATGCCTTGGACAGAGACGACATCGCGAAGGCTTCATGTGACATTGGATAGGTATGTAGTAGTGCCTCTGAATTGCAAGGGTTGGATTAATTTTGAAGTTTCACAAATTTGTTCAGTACATGAAGAGATATTTACCATTGTCACTTCCTAGAAATGAATAGTTATTGCAACATCATTCGATGGTCGAAATTTGTACAAGGTGTCAAGGTTCTTGCTAATGTATCTTTTTATATTTGTAATTGAATAAGTTCCTTTTCATCTATGGTTGGTGTATAGCATTGTGAATTTTCACTTGTTTTTTTTAATTTTGATGGGTTTTGTAATTGTAAGTTTTAATCAACTAACTAATTAATCTACGTCTGTAGAAAGCTAAATTGAGTAACCAAAGTATATATTTTTTTGGGATTTGAGAACCATTTCCCTTCAAATATAACCAAAGAAAGCGAACAACTGCTAGCGCGATGAACACCTAATTTACGTAACACTGATTAATCTTCCAAAATTCATAAGCACATTATGAGTTTGCGTTCTCAAAAATTTTCAAGTGTTTACCACAGCACCAGATTGGTGGTGATATGCGATCTAAGTAATTTACAAACCGTATATTATGTTTCAATTTTACAGAGCCTTTTATATTTATACTTCAAAAAATATCACTACGGGTTCATATCTCAAATGACCGCACCTTGTGCGGTCGTATCATCTCCTAGTATAGAAATAGGATAAATTTGGTAGGGAAAAGGACTGATGAGATAGTTGCCAGTGACAAAGGACCAAAGACGGCCATGCTGATGTGGATGCAACATTTCCACATCGAAGATTTGCTGTTGTTATTACTACTTGGATGAAAGAATCTCAGCTTGGCATCATATGACAAACAATAGATCAACCTACTTGAAACTGCAAGAAACATGGTATTAGAGCAAGTTTCGAATGGCAATTCTGATTTTCCTTGGTATTTGAGTTGGAGACAATTGATGAAGACCGTGATAAGGAAGGCAATAGTGGCTTGGCGAGACGACATTGTCAATTCCCTAGTTGATTGTGAAAATCGATGGGCGCCAACGGCCACCGACATTTCAATAGTAACCTCCCTGAAGTGAACTCTCAAGATTGAACCGGTATGAAGGTGCAAATTTATTTTTCTAATTAACATCTTCCATAACGGTAGTTGTTTACTATCTTGCGGTAAAATTTGTTTGTTAGAATTTTGAGTAGAGTAGGCAATGACGTTCTGGGTAGACTATTTTAATAGAAATTTCTTGGTTTCGTGCAATAA